TCTGCAGTGTCCATCTCTCGCCTTTAATTTCTTGAACAATTAATACTCCTGCACTTCGCTTCATGGGCTCTTTAATGGCACCAAATTTTCCATCGCAACCAACTCTCTCTGATTTTTATTGTAGGCATCCTTTGAATTAATTGATGAAACTTGTTTTTGTACAAGCACCAGCACACTCGAACACCAGCCCCACATCCATTAGACATAGAAAAGTCTGCTGCCTTTTCTTCCCTTCACAAAAAGCAAATTAGAAAGACTTACAGGACTTTTACAACAGCCTTTCTGAAGAGCTTTCATCATAGCAGTGTGTTATTGTCAAAATGTTGATAAGATGACCTTCCTCTCAGCTCTCTTCCTTCATCTTTCTCCCCACACCACTTTGTCTGTCACTTATCTAGAGCTGCTATTCTGCTGTTCACGCTGCTGCTCTCTGGGGGTAATAGTTTTGTGAGATATGATTAAAGAAGAAGGAAAGGATAGGAATTACCTTTTCCTGTCATGTCCAAGGAGGGGTGAAAAAGACAGGCTTATTCTTGTAAATGTGGTTCTGTTACTGTCCTCTTGTCCGAGTTTACAATTACTTTACTTTTCTCGACATTGATTCTGGTTCTGTTTCTTACCATCGTGCTGTTTTCTGAAAAAGGCTTTGAAGCTTTCTGAGAAAAAAGATATTTAAGCTCTTTGTCTAATGCTTATGGTACTAAAACTGTTTATACTCCATGTTCTATCAAATGTGAGGCAAGGGGATGGAGATTTCTTTTCTTCGAAGTTTTTTTGCAGCTGGTATGAGATTAATAGAAGGAAACATGAACTGTAGAGTTTATAATAAAGGATTATTCTGTTCTTTCCAAACTTGATTAATGATAACAACACAGTTTAGATGGAATACTTTAACAGACACTCTAACAATGGATGCAATTAAGCCCCATTATCTATGCATGTTCAGCTACATTATTATCTTCATGAGCCTGTATTGATGTTTCTTCTTCATCAGTTATTTCTCTGTGACAAGTTAAAATCTCGGCTGTGAAACATATGTATTCTGTTAGAAAAGAGAATTTTACTCTATAATGCTACAGTGTTGGCCAAACACTGACTTTTCTTAAATGTTAATTGTCCATATTTACATTGTAAGCAGGGGATATATGTTCTTTATGAGTCTATTATAAAATACCAGAGCTAAAATAGATCCCTGAATAACAATGTTGAATATAACTAATGGCTCCCTGGACAGTGTGTAATGAAAACCACAGAAGCTTTTTTTAATGACCATCTCAATTATGGCCAGAAACTTGACAGCTGTCAACTGAAGGGCCAGTGTCCCTCAGCTCCATCCATCTATTCATCCATTGTCTAAAGCACTTACTCCCGGTAAAGTCATGGGGCTACTGGAGCCGATCCCAGCTGTCGTCTGGCGCGAGGCGGGGTACACCCCGGACAGGTTGCCAGTCCATCACAGGTGCCCCTCAGCTCAGTGATGTTAATGCTCTGACCATTCACAAATTTATCAAAACAAACGATCGGGTCCATTTTTTAAATTTTTGCTTGATAATTAAATTAGTGATCTCTGTGTACATGATACTGTACATTTCTAGCAACTTGGAGAGCCGGTTTTGGGATTCTAGACAGCTATGTACACTAGGCTAAATATGAAATAATCTAGCAGAGAGTTGCATGAACAGCTTTCCTACTATAAGATAAACTAATATTTAATGTGGATGTCAGTTTGCGTTTGTTTTCCACACATGATTTGACACAGATGGAGGAGTTCATTTTCTTGAACTTGATGAAGCTTTATTTGTGTCTGAATGCTAGTTTGTGTGTGTCTACATTATGTAATTCTCACAACACTGCTTACCAGTGCCTGGCAGGATGTGTTCCGCACGTCTTGAGCTTTAACCTAAAGCTTTTATCCCCGTGGCTGCAGACCTGCAAGAGATCTGTGTTGAAGGGCCCATCTCGTTTGTGTCATGATGACCATCGAGGCCACTTGGTCTCCTACTTTAACAAAATGACGGCATCGTGCGGAGCCATAATGTAGGTCTGCCAGCCTCATCTGTTAGCTCTCTTTACATCTTTGTCACTCCACTCACCAGCTCTTACAATAAGCCAAGAATGCGTCCTATTCAAACAACATCATGGAAATGTGTCAACTGGAAATCCACATTGAAGTCCACTGGAGCATTTTACAGACTTCTGGCTCTTTTCTCTGCACGACACAACTCTGCCCAAGAGAACGAAGAGGGGCCATTTAAAGGAAGGCGTTCACAACATCAGATGTCTCGTCCTTAACAAAAGAGGGTTCTGGTTAGTATTCTGCTGGTGTGGTTGCATGACCAGTTCACTACAGGTCGTAAATCCCCTCTGGTAAATCTTTGAATGGCTGCTTTTCTCCCACATACAGTTTCGTATGTTGTATAGGATCTCTCGTAATATCCCTGGGGCTAAACTTTGCCCACTATAGGACTGGTGAATCTCTGTCAATCCCAGACCCTCAGATACAGCACTCTAATGTGCTCTGTTGGTGAGACTTGGCAAACTCTTTATGGTCATGACCCTCTCCAAGCCTTTAGAAATCTCTTGTCAGACGCCCAACCAACTCAACTAATGGCGCAGGTCTTCAACATGCAAAGAGTCCAATGGTTGGACCCCAATCTGTCACGGTCCATCAGAAGGTCTTAACCCACCTTAAAAGATGGGGCGCCTCAAAGTGTGTGGCTCAGCGGTGTCTTACCCGTACCAGAATCTGTTTTTCAGTACTCCAAACTCGAAATGGCTGCCTGCTATTAAAACCTGAACAGCAAATTGTTGTTAAATGATTGTATAGTTTGGCAGATGAATGCTTTTCTTTGACTCACACGCTCCAGTTTTAAACAGTTGAAGGTTTTACTGGGCTTTCAAATGGTAAGAAGACAGAGCCAACATTATTCCTGTAGTTTGTAAAGAGTCGAGCTGCCGTTGCATAATCTTCTTTCTAAGCATCAGGCATGCTTTTGGTTAGAGCTGCAGTTACCTTGGTGAATGCAAAAAGGCCTTTTCCTGGATGAATTATTTAGTTTATGTAACTGAAATGTAGACAGCCTCATCTAGCAAGCAAACATCAGCTCAAACTAATTTCAGATTCTTCAAAGTGTTTTCTAGCACACATCTCTTTTTAATCTATAGTCAAGAACATTAACATGTATCCACATGTTTGCCTAATTCCATTTATTTTGTGTGTGTGTGTCATTTGACTCTCCGCTAAAATAAGCAGCTATCTTTTCTTCAAGCTGAACAATCCCTTCTTCATCTCCATTTCATACAGGCTCTGTTTCAAGAATCTCTCCATTGAACTGTGAAGCTTTGGGCCCCAAGCCAAATCCTCCGGCAAAGTCAGCAGCTCATTTTTGATGTGTGGTCGGATTTCCTCAATGTTGTACAGCAGGAATGCAGTAGAGCTACTGTTTACTGCGGTAAAATGAAAGTTAGCGCAGTCTTATCTGCACTTTTAGAGTGAGAGGGATGCCATGGGACACAGTTCAGATTAGTTCTTTTACCTCAAAGTCCACCGACACTATCTATGTATGTATAGTCACACATACACATTTCTTTTTAGTAATGGCTAGGCTGTACTCATAAAACAAAAATGTATTAATTTAACTGTTTTGACAACCAAACTTTTAGCTGTTTGATATCTAATAAAAAAGTGGCATATTTTAGGGTTTTTTAAAAACAAGTTAGAGCAATCAGAAAAACCTTTCCTTTGTATTCAGTGTAAATGATTTGATACGTTCAGCTTTTATCATTGGAGTAAAGTAATTACACTGCAGTCCTTTAAACATTACAGTGTTAAACTGTTTAAATATAATTTCTTATTATGACTGTTATTCGACTCCGCATTTTAAAGTGAAGTGGACATCTAGTTACTGCCAGTTGCTTATCAGCAGATCAGGACAATCTGTTAAACGATACACATTGAAACATGACTAAATGCTAAGTATTCATTTTGAAGCGGATACTGAATCAAATCTTTATTTTGTTTAGATGCTGCTTACCATATAATGTGTGAATATTGATAAGACATGTGCTGCATATAAGAAAAGTGGTACAGCAAATAAATAACTACTGTTGTAGCTCCTTTGTATGTGGACTTTCTTTAAAGCTCATCCATCAGGAAAGCTTCTGTTTCCAAAGTACTCTGAAATGCAGTAGGCTGGCTACCCATAAGCATTTCATAAAAGCCCAGTTAAAACATATCCCTCGAACATCTGACTACTTCTTCTACCAAACCTCTTTACTCAGTAGGAAATACAGATTTTTGATGTCCTGTGCCACTAATGTGAGTTGCCCCAATTAGCTTTAAAGAGCTTTGACCTAGAAAACAACTTTGGGTTATTTTGGCACGCAGTCTTTCATCCATCGTTCCGACATAAAAGTCACCAAATAGTTTCAATTGATAGAGAAATACTTTGTGTTGTTAAAGAACTTTCATCTGAAGCACTTTCCAATTTGTGACTCATTTCTAACATTCACACACGGACACTTAGACACAGATTGCAGTGAGCGGCTTTGCAATGCACCTTTTATACCCGGAGCAATTTAGCTTAAAATGTCAATTTTAAGCTTAAGAGTTTCAGCATCTCACACTGATTAAGCAAAAGTATGCACTTCAATGTAATGCACATGATGGCGGATCTTTTTGTTTTTTTGGATGGTTTTCTTTCGTATACGCAACTCTTCATGCTCTACATGAAGCATCATTTTTATTTCTGCATTTAAGTCTCAGTTTATCCTTGTGGCAACAATGTGAAATAACATTAGATTTAGTTTTGCAGTATAAACATACTTGATAGAATATTGTTTTTTAACCGGAACGTGAACAAAATTTAAGGTAATGTTGACAAATTAACAGAAAAAAATAAACTTCATCATGAATTTGAGACATCCAAAAGTCACCAAATGTAGAAGTGTGTGTGCATAGTCAAAAACATACTTTCAGTTTTTATTCAACATTCATGCAGATTTCCTTCTTTACCACCTCACAAGGCTCTCCTCTCTGTTTTCTTCCCACTTTCTCAGCAGGCTGAGGATGGCGTTCAGTCGGCGGGCAGCAGGGCAGCAGATCTTTTTTGCTCTCATGTTGCTGCTTCTCTCTTCAGGGTTGGGTGAGTTTTCTGTCTCCTTCTACACTTTGTTCCCTTTGGCTGCTTCATGCCAGGACCGGCAGAATTGAATTATCATGTTCAGATGTACCGTCCAGGGTGTACCCTGCCTCTCGTACTGAATACTGGGATAGGCTCCAGTGCCCCCATGTCCCCATAAGCGGCTCAGAAAATGGATGGAAGGATGTTCAGAAGTAAATCAGTAAGCCTGTAGTAAAACATGATGTTTTGATGAATTAAAAAAGAATTTTTTTATACAGATAAACTTCTGAGTGTTGTGAGAGCTGATTGTTCTAGATGTTTGCATGCATGCCCCAAAAGACTGAATTGGAATCCCCTCAAAGCCATTTAAGTATATTAGTTGACCATCTGTTCCATCACACCCATAAATGAAATTCAGAATTATTGAATAAGGACAAAAAAAATCTCAAAGCTGCAGGCTGCAGTTGGATTATCTCAGGTTTTTGGTCCCTCATGCAGTCTGCTGACTGGCTGCAGCATAGATAAATTCCTCTCCTTAATTACTTTCCTCAGCATTTGGGATGCGTGATAGTGGTCAGCATGGATTTTCATTCAGCCTGAACCCGCATCGCTTATTTCCATAATTAAATCATTGCCTCACAGATAAAATTCCTTCTCCACATTCAATTATGTTTTGTCTGTACTTGTTGAAGGACAAGAATAGACAAATTTTGTATTCTGAGGGTGTACTTAGTTTATCACCACACACTGCCCTCAGGCACGCAACCAACTACAACAAGACATCAGACTATGAATACTGACATTTATAGAATGAAACGATGACAAATGGCAAACATTGCGCCAGGATGCAGAGACAATATTGTTTTTTCAGGTGAAATCCGTCATGCACTGTCAACTTTATTTTTTAACAATATCTAATAGATTAGATTAGTTCCAAAACCCTGAGAGATGATGTAAATAAATATAAAAAGCAAGGATTTACATTGAGATTCTTATGTCTTATAAGTTAACATTGTACGTGAAATAGAACAAAGAAAACACAAAAAATATTCAAAGTGAGAAATGTTTCCAGGTCATGACAATCTTGGATGTGATGGCGGTGACATCACATCCATTCTTGTTATCTGTGGCATCCTCTCTCCTGTAAATGTGTAGAAGCATCTAAGAACTGAATAGGTCCATTGTTGGAGCTTTTAGGAGAGTAGTGATGTCACATTCTTGTATGATGGAGGATCGTAGCTGTTCCACTGTCAGGAGTATTTTGAGAACCCATGATGTTGCTATAATTGCAGTATGTGGTTCAGCATGGCTTTGTTGAAATGTGGACGTCCTACCCTCAAAGACATAGAGGTTTTCTTTTAAATGTAGCCTACATGTACCTTTCATTTTTCACAATGCCTTACCAGATAAGCCAGTTGTATGTTTTAAACAATATCAAAGCACTCCCACACCATTAGATAGCACCTAGAACTTGCGGCATTTTTGTCTCATGTTTGTACCATCTAGACTTTCTATCACAAATCTTTTTATCCTTTGGACCATAGTTTTCCCACTTCACCTCCATTTTGAATGAACTTTGGCACAGAGAACACATTCATATTGCTGGATCATGCTCACATATGGCTTTTTCTTTGCATGATAGAGCATTAACCTGCATTTGAGCATGGCACAGTGAACTGTGTTCACAGATAATGATTTCTGGAAATGTTCCTAAGCCCATGCAGAGATGTCCACGACAGGATAATTCCTGTTTTTAATGTAGTTCTTTGAACCTTCTGATGGCACTCGGTACAATAAATATTGGAATATTTTAGTCTTGGTAAGTAAAATGAATAAATGAAATGCAAAATTGGTCCACAATTTGGAGAATTACTCTGACTTTCCCTTAGGTAGTCTTTTTATTCTCAGTCATATTACTGACAGGTTACCAATTAACCTAACCCGGAGCAGCATGTTCCTTCAGCTGATTTCATTTTAGCACCGCTGACTTTTCCGGCCTTTTATTGGTCCCATCTTAGCATTTAGGAGATCAAATTCAAGATGAGTTAATGGCTTTATGAAATAATAAAATAACTCACTTTAAAATGATAGAAAGAAATTGGTTCATAAGATTTAATCACTGCCTTTGTGGAATCTGAGCTCCTGCATCCATTTGACTTATACTGTTTATACAAGATGTTTTGTCTCAAACCTGTCTCAGTGATGTTTTTTCAGCTATCACACATAATGGAATTTATGGATTTAATTTTCTTTTCATTTATTTTTTTGATATGGAGTGATTGAAAGAGATGTAAAGTTACCATGCTCTGATAAAACTGGAAGAAATGTAGCGTTTGTGAAAATGTTAGCCCTAGTGCTATGTACAGATTTTTCTTTGGCCAATTTTAGATACAGATTTTTTGAGAAACAAATCCCCTGGATTAGCGGTGGAAAATGGATGGATGGATGGATTGGTTAAGTAACACATGCCATTCATATGATTTGAATGGCACTTGTTTGGAATGGCACATGTTGTGGAAGAGCTTACAAATTTTAGCAAAAAAATGCTAAAGGGTACACTACATGTACAGATTTGTTTGTATTCATTTCCAATAAAACAAAAACATGGTATGACTCCAGTCATATATGACATGGTAATGAATGTCAATTTCAAGAAAATAAACAGTATTAGAAAGTTGAACTTTTGAATAATTTTGTGAAAAAGAGATTGGGCTCTGTTTTTTATTATACTCAGCATCTGTGAATGACAATGACTTTATTTTGTGACCTCCAGCTTTAGCACTGTAAAGATTTATCACTGTACCAAATCTGAAAAGACTTATCGTACAAAATGAAGTATGATATACTTTATAATTAAACAGCAAGAGCCTGGTAAGTTGTTGGAACTGGTTCGTTTGACAGTGAAGCTTATACAGGTAATGGTGTTGTCATGGTTACATGGAACCTGTCATGGCAACCGGGCTGAGTGAAATGCTGATATCTATCTGCAAAGTACTGAGTCTAACCATTTTGTACGAGCCATCAGTATGAACTGTAGAACTCAAGGAGAAGACATTAAAACTTTATTGTTGCTGAAACTGGCTACAGTGTCCAATATAATCTTTTGGTGGGTGTTTTAGCTCTGTCGAACAGATATCTGAGCATTAGCGATCCTTGAAAGTGATAGACAAAAGAGAGTTTCTCATATGTGGAGACATGGACTGCGTTATTGTGAAAAAATGCACTCTTACATATTTGAAGTCATCGTCACTTTATTGTTTGCCCTCTCTAGGTGCAGCTTCCAACCTAGTAAACCTGCGTAGGATCACCCATCCTACAGTCCATCAAACACTTGCAGGCAAAGCTGTCCTCCCCTGTGTCTTCACCCTCCAGACCAGCTCCCTCCAGCCCCCTCAACTCCTTTGGACTCACACAAAACCACTGGCTGGTGGACGAGGTGCTCCCCTGGAGCAGGTTGTGCTTTCTGCAAAAGGTGAACTAAAACTTCAATGTTCAGTCAGCTCCATCAAGAAAATATGAATATTAGTATTCGGTTTATTCCGGAGTTCAACCCCACTGTTTTTCCACCGTATGGATGTATGTCTAAATTTATCCGATGCGGAGCAGTTAAAGGCTGAGCACAGTTTAAAGTAAAAACACGTTTAAAGCTTTAGTGTGGTTCAGCTTATGGCATGTTAGGTGTTGATTAGCTTTAAAGCTCAGCATAAAAGTTACCGAAATCCAATAAGTGTGAAATTTTAGGTAATTTAGTCAAATGATAATTGGTTCACACTTAGTTGGCACCTTTTATGGTGTATATGGCTCCCAAGGTGCTTTATGGTGTTACTCATCAACCCAAAGACAAAAAAAGCACATCTTACAAATTTGGGCTCTTTACATTTTTTTGTCTAAAATCCCACTTGCCATCATAGGAAATTGCACCACAGGTTTTCCATTTGGAGCACCTTAACTCTACAACAGCTGGCCTCATGTGGGGCATCTAACAGCGCAGAATCATGCCTTCCTCAGAAAATCAGAGAGAGATAGAGATATAGGGACTAAAAGCAGAGCTGATGTTGAAAATGCATAGGAGGAAAGTATTATTTTCAAAAGTTTGACGTTTAGATATGTCAGTGTTGTCTTTATTGTCTGTTATTAATGCTTCTAAGTGGCTGTTTTTGTGCTAGGAAATAGAGTGAAAGCACAGTCTTTTTCAAGACAAATGGAGTTCATTGCAGTTTTCAATTTATTGGTAGATTGTGTAAGCAGCAAAGAGGACAGCTAAAACTGAAAGTTTGCGACAAAGCTTGTAAAACAGTTAATAAATCTCATTCTCGGATAGAACAGACCAAATTAGGTTCAGTCTACAGCCCTCTCTTTGTGAAAGTGTTTTTTAAACCAAAGAGTGTATGTTGTTCAGGGGAATAAAAGCTTGAACATCACTCTTTTCAAAAGGGATGCATACGTGTGTTTGCACCCATGTGTGCTAGAGCACACGTGGGTAGACTGTCATGGCAACAAATTACTTTTGGGCATCAAGTATGAGGCAGGCAGTTGAAGAGGAACCTATAATTTAATACTGGTTGGTGGGCAAAAGTGTGCAACTTCAAATGAATACCAAAAGAAGACAAAAAACTCCAAATGTCAAAGTTTTTAGAGGAGATAAGCATAGTTGTTTTAACCGGGGTAAAAATGCGTGTTTTGTGACAGCATCACAACTTAAAAGACATCTAAATAATGTCCGACTTTAAATCCAAACGTATTTAGGCAGTCTTTAAATTTGAACTTTCTGCTTCTAAAGCTTTAAGGATGCCAGAAGACATTTGTAATGAAGAAACCTATCTCTCTGTGCCAAAGGTGATGTAATCAAGGTGAATAAGGCTTTCATTGGCCGAGTGGCGCTGCCAGGATACGCTGCCAATTCTCTGAATGCTACCATGGAGATCTCCAGTCTCCGTACCAACGACTCAGGCACTTACCACTGTCAGGTTGTCATGGGCACTGACTATGAGAGAGACACTGTGGCCCTTGTGGTTTCGGGTAAGTGTGCAGACCGCTGATGAGGGCTAACTTTTTTACCAAAGCCCCACCAAGGACACCATTTAGATAAGATTTTGCAAAATCTTACACTTAATTTTTGTTGAGGTTTTTAACTCCTTTTGTTCTATAAAAAGTATTATTTGGCTTTTGAAACAGGGGCAGAGCCAACCCTTTTGGCTTTGTTATTTCATTTGACAATATTTTATTAGCGTTACATAGATTGGCTTGATTAATGCAACGTAATGCTCTTTTTGAGTGTGCGTTGTTTGGCTTTCTTTTTTTTCATTCCATTGTTGAACTTTTTTTAAATTAACGTTTAGACAAAATACAAATGACATTGGTTTTCTCCACTGTGAAATTTCAGCTAAAAATCTTTTGGAGCCATGTCCACTAATCTATTGATTACTGACCTTCCTGTGTTTGAAAACGTTTTACATGTAGAAAGCAACAATTTTCCCCATCTTCTATGTGTAGGTGTGGTGTTTCACTACCAAGTTCCTAACGCCCGTTACACCCTATCATTCACTGATGCTCAGCGAGCCTGCCAGGAAAACTCCGCTCAGGTTGCCACGGCAGCCCAGCTGTGGGCTGCGTACCACGATGGCTTTGCCAGCTGTTCAGCCGGCTGGTTGGAGGATCAGACTGTCCGGTAAGAAGACCAGAGCCTGTTTTTTTTTCATGTTACAATCTCACTTAATTATTTGATAACTGTAATTTTTATGAGTCCATAGAGACTAAAAATAAACCATTCCCTCTATTATAAAATCAATCTGCAATTAATTTCAAATGAACTTGTTATTTAGAGTAATTTCAAAGAGAGTCAGGTCCATTTAAGAGCGTTGCCATGCAGCAGGAGGCAAATTGCATCCTGTACGGGTCACCTGCCCATCACAAGGAAACATACAGACAAAACAAGGAAACAAACAACCATTCACAGGAAGCTGGACAATGCACACAAAAGGACAATGTTCAAAATCCAAATATTTTATATATTCATACAAGAATCTCTTTTGCTTGTTTATAATATATATTAATATAGCTATAAGGGGAAACTAAATGGCGTACTGTGCTAAAGTTATGCCAAATAGATTGTGGGCATTAATCTGCAAATACCTATTGGATAAGATGTATTCCAGCTCTGAATGATTGAAGGTTCCAGGTGCTATTTCATCTGATTTCCCTTAAAAGTTAGAGCTGAATTACTTTCCAGTTGAGATTGGCTATTAAAAATCTCAATTTCGTAAAACTAAACAAACTTTCACCAGAGAAAGAGAAATTATGAAAATGACTCTCTCCCTTTTCAGTATAATGGAATTGAAAGCAGTCTCATGTTTTTTAATATCATAAATCTAGCTTAGTTAGTTTTGTAAACAGGATAGAACTATTTAGTGGTGAATTAATATTTCTTTATTATTTATGACGCACGATGCACAATAACCGGCAATCACAGCAATTTCATTTGGCTGACTAAAACACATTTAGACAATCAGGTTGTGGTTTGACTCACATCTGCATGCATATTTTAAATGAGACTCATGAAGGTCCGGAATCCTGATCATCTTCTGAAGTTCCATTTTTTAATCTTTTGTAAAACCTATGAAGTGCTAGTGACTTAAAACTGAAGAACTTATCAAAATCAGTAAATGTGATTTAAAATCAACCTGATGAGACCACGTGTCAACTCATAATTGTTATTAAAACATTACCAGACTGTTTCTTTGCCCCGATTAAGTCCTGACTTTACACTGTCACAGAATCACCATTCAGGTAACTTTTAATTTAATTCAGCTAGATTTTCAAGGATGATGGTCTCCCACTGGGAAAGAGAGAAACAGTTTTAGAGCTGGAAGAGGACTAATTTTAGTCTATATGTATAAGTGTAGAAGGATAGTGGTTCAATTAAATGACCATGACAATTCAGTTCACCCTAAAACTATGCCCTTCCAAAAGGGGATGCAAATAAAAATGAAGTAATGCCCGACATATCAAAACATCCTCTTCAGGCGGCAAAATGTTCAAAAGGACCTTTTTGCTTTTCATTTTCTACTATTGTTATTGAATAATGTGGTTACCTCCCATTTATGACTCCCACATGTTTGTATCTACAGTTATTCTGTCCAGCTGCCAGAGCTTGGTTGCTATGGACACAAGGAGTACTCTGCTGGAGTGAGGAACTATGGGAAAAGAGATCCGAAAGAGCTGTTTGATGTCTACTGTTTTGCAAAAGAACTCGATGGTACACCGAGATACACACAAACACACCCACATGAAATGCATCAAAATCTGTCACAGCTTTTAGCTTCCCACTGATGTTTGCATCATGGTCTGCTGCAATATTTAAGGGCAACTCTGGGGATATTTCTGTGACGTGTTTACAATACTCGAGAAATTCAATGAAAAGTCACAGGTCAGAAATGACCTGATCTCACAGATTTGTGTTTTATTGTGTAACCAAACGCTGAAATCAATCCATCTTTCGGAGCTTTTGTGTCAATGCATGACATGGTATTCAAAACCAATTTGTAAGGTAGATCAGAGTAGCTTCAGCCAGAGCTGTATCTTTAAATAAATCTGTATACATTCACAGCAGTCACATCAGTTTGAGTAAATTATGTGTTTAGTTTTATTATTTGTCTCTTCTAAACCTAAACTTTTTTATTTGTGGATTGATGTTTTGTTTAAATTGTGCTTGTAGAAACGTTTTGCCTTGTTCCACCTTGTCTCTTAGAATGGTTGAATGCATTTTCTTTAACCACCAAGAAATCTTGCGTCCTCTGCTTGTGAATAAGCTTAACTCTGATGTTCTCTTCCTGCAGGGGAAGTATTCCACTCCTCGGTCCCGGGTAGGCTGTCGCTGTCTTCGGCCTCTGACCGCTGTGTGTCTCTCGGGGGTCAACTCGCCACAGTGGGACAACTTTACCTGGCCTGGAGGGCTGGCCTGGACAGCTGTGCCCCCGGCTGGCTATCGGACGGCAGCGTCCGGTACCCGGTCACCTGGCCTCGCCGAGACTGCGGCGGGAGCCAGCCGGGAGTTCGCACCGTCACACAAAACATCACCGATGACAACACAACGGCACTGTATGACGTTTACTGCTACAGAGGTATCGTCTCACAAGAGGACAATCTCTCCCTGGGCTGATAAACTCTTACTGCTCAAATCATTGCTTTTCAGAGATCAGATCACTACTGTTCACAGTTTGATACGCGGGTTTGCTTTAAATATAGTTTGTAATGCATAAACATAGCAAGTAGCGGCATTGTGATAAACCGTAACAATAGAAATGCGAGAATGCACAGTTAAAGCTTCCATTTAATTCCTGATAAAAGCTTTGACTGGTATGAAAGCAGTAAAAACACCAGTAAAAGCCATGCTGCTATTGTAGCCATGACAACACGTTTCTGAGAAACTGCTGGATTGACATACACTGTGGAAGGGCAGGGGAGAAATGACAGGATGTGTTAAATATTGAGATGTTCGTCTGTCATGTCATGATTCTCTGTTGACTAATATTTCCACCTTCAGCTAAAGCTCTTAAATGCTCTAGTGTTTAAAGTGAACACAAATCTCTTAAACTTGTTTTCTAAGGCAAAGTGAAGAGTGCAGGCTCCATCTCTCAGATCTACACCTCCTTGTGGAAGCCCTGGAGCTATCTTGCAGACTCAAGCACTGCTGACACTGCAGGGTCAGACGGTTCCGGCCTAACAACACAGCAAACCGCCAGCCTAAGAGGTTCTATTTTTATCTGTAACAGGCAATGTGACCGCATCGTGAACCAGCAGATTAATTAGAAAACAAACCATTCAGTGTGTGGCACCACAAGGACGAATATCAACCAGTTCTATGTTTGATTTTTCATTGAACTCTCAGCATCCTCAGATGGAAGCGATGTGGCATCGTTGAACTGGACAGAAGTGGTCGACCTGGAGCAGGAAGCTTCTCCTTATACTGCTTGTGAGTCCGATTCCCTATAGCGCGCTCGTTTTGCTGCCTGGAGAGTAAGACAAATGTTATTTTTCGTGTAGCGTTAGACGTTTTTTGCAGCAGGCTATCGTGTCGCCGAATTGGTTAGCTAGCACTTCTATTCACAAGAGGAAAAATACAGACTCCATCGTTTCTTCGGTCTGGTCACACTGACCATTTATTCTGAGCATGCTCACAGTAACATTCAAGTTCACGCAGGCACGCATGTTTTCATATGAATAGGCTTTAACATGGCTTTGCCATTCATATTATTAGATATGCTCAACATTCCCTATCATTTGAAGCCACAGATCCCTGGTCCTCAGAGTCCTCCAGGTCATTTGTGACCCTTCAGTTGGTCCCAGGACAGAGCTCCTTTGACTGGGGAGAGCCACTGGGGCCTGGCCCTGACTCTGAGGAGTTTCTCAGACCTCCAGTTGATCCAACACCTACTGAGAAAAAGGCTGGTTTTATGTTATTTAATTTTAATTTCATTATAATGTTTGAACGGTTGAGCACCTTTTCTTAAGGATAGCCCATTCGTTTGTCATTTTAGGTGATTTCAAAGATAGTGAAGTCCATTTGGAAGCCTTGGAACTACCTGATGAGCCCTGGAGATGAGGAGGGGACCAAAGCACCAATTAATGCCGGGGAAGACACAGCAACAAAAGAAACTGATAAAGGGACAGCATCATCAGGTAAATGGTGACCTGTAAACTAAGAGAGACTGATAAAGTTGTTTTAACTACATAGAAATGAATTTGCTACTGAATTTAACCAGTAACTTTTTCCTAAAAAAAAGCAGCATTGGGAAGCAGGTTTCTACAGGTTCCTGAAAGTTGGAACCCTTACAAAGTTTCTGAGGGGATCACAGTAGTTTGACCATACTGTCTACATGTTCATGTTCATACATGGTTATTTTAGGGAGAAGTGCTCCCTTTTCACTCTTTAGTGACTACCCCCCCCCTAAAAAATGGAGCTGAAAAGACAAAACAGAGGGGTTAAAATGGGCTCAGCTTCCGAGTGTACGATAGATGGAAGAATATGTGAATGACACAGTGTAATTTTCAAAGAAAGTCTTTGGAATCACTTTACTTTACATTGTCAGTGTCAGTGTTAAAGTAATAAAGCACAGTTCATAAAGTGTGGAACCAGGTGAATGAGAGGTTTTTCTCATTTGTATAATTAGGACTCTATGTTGCTTCATATGAACCTTTTGGGTGATGTAGAGGTGGAAAAAGAAATGATCTTGAAATGAAGTTTGTTATTAATACGACACAATTATAACAATAATATCATTTCTATGTATTTTTAGAAAATGCTATAGCTGGGGAGGTGGTGGGTTCTTTTGTAGGACCAGTGAAAATAGGTGAATTGTTGATGTGTGGAGACACACTGGAATCACATTGACCTTTGTATGAAACTGCCTTTCTTGTTGGGCTGCTAACAAGCTGTGATTGATAGCAGGAGGGACAGCTGACACATCCTAGCTGTAAGCGTCTGCACAGCGATATATAATTAACATGATTAGAAATGTAAAGGATGGCCTTTTAACATCCTGCCTGTGCTTGGCCTCTGCAGAAAATGTTACGAATATCCATTATAGGACTCTTTTAATGAAAACTTTAGATTGAATATGTTCAAGAAACACTAATATATCTAAAATAATGATCAAGTAATTTTCATAACAAGCACTCCATACCTAATTCAACAACTTCTATTTTGTTAATCAAGGGAATGTTCTGTTCAGATGTACTTAGAGAAGAACTTGTTGAAGATCTGCACTGAGAGAAAAACAATCATCCCTTAAATTAAGTTAATATGTAAGTTTTTCTCATATTATCTTGATAGGTTTTCCACTCTCAGATTCACATCCTTTATCAAAATATCAAAGGGGAGCAGAAGGCATTTGACTTAAAGTACTGCCTATTTTCAGATATGGTTTAACCAAATCAGTTACTTCTGTCTCTTCATATCGCCAACCTGTGTTTCAGATAGGGCTTTCAAACATGAACATGAACAAACCATCACAAAAGAGAGGAATGGATCTTGATAACTCCTTTTCCTATCTCTTATGTTTTTGGAGTCTAGCATTCATACAGTTTTCATGTGTTAGCAGATGATAGAGGTGGTTTTCAGAGAGAAGGTTGAGTGTTTTCTTGGAAGTGTGTTACCGGGCTGCTGATTTAATTCTGAGGCAATTTGTGAAACTGCGGTGCCTCCCTGTTCTCTGACCCTGACTGTGTATGTGCAAATCTTTGTGTCTGTGTGAGCTTTTATATTTGTTGACTTTGACTTTGTTTCTGCAGTTTACCGCTAAATGGTTGTCTGCTTTTACCTTATTTTATCATCAAATTCGAAAAGTTCTTATAACTATAGCTTTCAAGCTGGTAACTTTTTCCAATATTGTTAGTAATCACAAGTAACTGGGTCACATGAAATGGATTTTGGAAATGTTAGCAAACATTTATGATACTAAAGGAGACCTTTAAAATTCCAAATATAAACAATTAAGATTCTCGTGACTTGGCTTTATTTGTAATATTTCACTATAGCTTATACAGTGAAAATATTAGTGTTTCCTGTCACTTCTTGATTGTTATTTTTCATAAAATTCCTGGTTTAATGCCTGCTTGGTTTTAAATGCTATATTGTTTTACGTATTTATGTGGCCCTGTGATGGTGTAGTAACCTGTCCAGTGCTTTCCAGTCCTCTCACCAAATGCCAGGTAGAATAATCCTCAGCTTTCCTCGAGACACTGAATTGAAAGAGGCAGGTTTAAAAACATTGAGTTATAGATGGATGTTAGCCATCCCGTCTACATTAGTTTGTTTCTTCATTCATCCAAGTATTGCAAATGTACTTGAAAGCGATGTGCTCTTTTAGACTTGAAATTTCTCTTTAGAAAGCAGCTTTGTTTGCAGAAGTTAATAATGTTGAAAATTACACAGTGCTGCTACTGTATAGAGCAGAGTTTCAGATAAAATCTCAAAAAGCTTTCAAACGCTTGTTTAGTGGCCTGTGGCAAAGTGAGGAAATCCAGTGGATTTTCACTTTGAAACTCTCAGCTTTCTCCTTTTCTACTCATCATCCTGCCTACATTGATTGCTTGCTTTGTCCCCCGCACAGGTCTCTTTTCTTGGGGAAGCTCATGGTTCAGCAATCCCTCCAGGGACAGCACCACACTAGCTGATGAAGACTCGACCACTTATGTGGCATCCACGTTGACCACTTCAACCAATTCTATGACTTCAGAGAACAACAGGAGCTTAGGGAGCTCAGGAGAAACACACCCACTCCCCACCTCTAGCCCTGCCTCTGAAATGACTTCTTCCAGGAAAGACACCTGGATTCGTGTTGAAGCGGAGACAACCACCCAGCTGGCCGACAAGAGAGAACAAACAGTTACCTCCAGAGCCAGTGGAAGAGGAAGGGGAAGGGGAAAGAAGAACCGAGGGGAGGAGAGGAGTAGAGGGGAGGTGAAGGGGAGAGGAGAGGAGAGGGGGAAAGCAGAAGAAGAGGGGAGCGGAGAAATTGCGGCTGCTGAGGCAAAAGGGGAGATTCAAGTCTCACGTCGCCCTGTTGGTACAAGTAAACCAAGAGAAAGATCCAGAGAAAGGAAAGGACGCAGAGGACAAACCACCACCACGACTGCCACCACCACCAATAGCACCACTCCAATGGAGACCACAATGGAGACTACTACTGGGGAAGAAAGGGACTTTTCTGCATTCCAATACCGGTCTACTTCATCAGCAGTTGATGAATCCCCCCTGTCAACCTCACAGGAGCCAAATCATTCTCTGTCATCTTCAACATTCCCACTTCCATCAAACGCACCGTCTATGTCTTCTCCTCAGTCATCCCAAACAGTCCTCCTTTCCCAAGAGTCCCAGTCTTTCCAAACATCTACTGCCATTGCCTTTTCCTCCTCAAATACCCCCTCGCCACCATCAATCCCGTCCTTCTTGCCATCATCATCATCACAGTCCGCCTCCCATCTACCTGCACAGACTGAAACCGCCGAGGTGGCGTCATCTCCTCAGTCAGACATCCAGGACAGCTCATCCGACTCCCTGACCATGCTTCACTTGGTCCCAGTGGAGGAGGTGGTCTTCAACAGCTCTCTGGATTACCCTCTGTCCCCACCCAGCCAACCAGATGATGAGGAACCCGTCTGGTCGCATGCTGTGGGATCAGGGGCCCTTTTACCCGGTAACGTAGACGAGGAGAGCAGCAGAGGAGGAGTCAACATTACCACCGCAACTCTAAGTCCAACAGGTGGGCCACGCATGTCTGTTTGAACGTTGTGTTGCATCCTGTTGGTTGTGTTACTATGTCCAGGTATTGTTTTAGTAATCAACAGTTTGTTTATGTCATTATTACACAGTAACAGAACAGCAATAATAAGGGAGCGGTTAGTGTTGTCTGTGAGTAGCCGGTTACATCCATAGTAATATATTTTTGTATTAAATAACAATGGGGTGTTATTTACTGATATAACGCGCCAGCTCCATGGAAACAGTGTAAATGGAAAATCTATTGGCAACTTTGTGGCAGTGGTCATGCATATTATCTTGTTCAATCGAAGCACTGTGTATGCTGGGGGAAAACTTGCCCTAGGTTAGAGTCTTGTCTGTAATACAGGGTCAGTAATGGAATTGCAACACATTAAATCAGGACACTGGGATTGAATCCCTGTGTGGGATCTTTTTTAGGCTAGATCTGCCTTGGCGAAGGAAAAAATTTGAATTCGGTGGCCTGAAGGTAATCCACATTTATGATTATACACTTAGGTGCTCCTGTTGTGACCTGAATTCTTGGTGTTTTCATTGTTTGATCATCCAATACAAAGGATGAGACACTTATGCTCCTTATACAAGTTCTTTGTATTTATTAAAGTTAATACTGTGGACATTATTTAATTTTTTGTACAAATTAAGTGGCTCGGATCCTGCTGATAGGTCGTTTTGGCTTCTTGGCTAATTTTATATTAATGTGAAAGTTAGTAACAGAAGGTCTTTAGCTGCAAAACCATTCCCTTTGGACATTTTCCAGCAGGTTATACATTTCTACTCAACTTTTGGAAAACTGATCATAGGCTCAATTTACAATCGCATAATTTTTTTAAATTTAAAATTAAAATAAGATTGGACTTTAATGTCATATTCTTGGCTGAGTAGGAATTAATGAATAATTTGGTGGATCACATATTCATTATTTCAGAACTAATCATTGTCAGCAAATGGCACAAAAAGACTAGCAAGTATAAAATAAACCTTCCACTGACATCCGGTTCTCATAAACTAATGCTTTACTCCACAAAAAAGCAAATGCAAATTGCTGGTATTCCTTATCACAATTCATGAAGAAAAAAAAAGCGAGGAAGTTTCCTTTAAGACGTACGGTACATTTAATTTTCTCTGACCTTGCCACCGGTGAATCTACTCACACAATTTAGCTTTTTTCCCCAGTTACATATCTTTAATTCCCACCTTAAGCAGAGAGCACATCCGCGGCTACAATCTGATGATTAAGTCTGCAGCACGGCACATCTCTGTGAAGCTGCTTGCTGGCCACCTGGCTTACTACTTATTTCTTGCTTGACAATAAGCGCACATACAGGAAGGCATCCTATCACTGAGCTTTCAAAAAACCCCATGGGCATCGTCCTATCGCACATTTCTATGCTGATTTATTTTTGCAGCTCACGGTTGCTGCAGGCCTGCTGAACCTCCTGCTCAGGAATGAGGCGTCCATGGCTAGAAAACAGCTGTAAACTGTATCGACAAGAAGCCGAGGGCAACCATCTGGGCTGCCGGTGCTCAGTATGAGGGTTGATTGATTGGCTGAGAGACCCTGGAGTCATGCGGGCGGAGGGCCATAAACACACAAACACACTGATATCTTTGCTAGACGAGCAGCAGAGGTGGATAGATGCAGTTGCAGGAGATTGGACTTGAATAATGACTTTCAGCTTCCGTCTCTCTTTCATGTGCTCGCTCCAGCTCCAGCTCCGTCCCTTGTGGTTGGAGATTCATGCTGGTGGTGGTCAGTATTCACTCTTCGGACTGCACTTTATCAGTCAGTTCAGTCAATAAGACTGGAGAGAAAACAGGAGCTTAAAGTAGGATTCAAGGGCCTACAGCAGCAAAACCACTTCACAACAATGACTTCCACTATGCAGCTTGTTTTATTTTTTATATATGTCCAAACATATTTCCAAGATAAGCATAGACTTTGATACTGGCTGTGATTACACGATTAAAAGACAGTAATTCCTATATCGATGCTTGCATATTTCTTAGAATTGCCACAGTGAAAAATGATATTCTGTCAAGTGAACTTATGTGTTAGATTAGTCTGTTTCCAGCTTATTGTTATTGTTTGCACTTGGGCTGTGCAGACCAAGGGACAGTCCACTCTGTCAACTCCTTCCACAAAGTATTGATTTTTCTGCACCACTCGCTTTAATGAATGGCCAATTGCACAGGGTTTATCCAACAGATAGGCGCACGTACGTTGGTAAATCTTCTTGTCATAATGGTTGATATTTGTCAAGGCACTGTCATGACCTTGACTGATGCAGAGGGTGCAAATGCACGTTGGCTCGGATTCACATGCATTAAATGAAATGCATGGCCGGTTTTAGCACCTGACTTCAGCAGAATTCAAATCACAAGCAGAGAAGAGACGCATGCAAAATTTATCATATTGCTGAAGCCATAGCTGTGCTGAAGCTGCGTTGGGTTGAGCTGGATAACCTTCAGTCTTATATTTTTTTTGTTCTTCTTCCTGAACCGTTATTTGGATCCATGCAGCATGATGATAAATCAGAAGATATGAGCTTGAGATGTCTGCATCTGATAAGTTATTGAAGAGGCTAAGCCTCAAAGCTAATCATAGCCAAGGTATTGATTTTTCACTCATCATACCATGAAGACACAAACACACAAACCTGCACATAGTCCCCCCCCCCCCCTCTGTAGAGCAGCTGTCAGTGTTAGAGCCAGAGCTGGTAGAACAAAGACTCTCACAGCTGAGCTTTTGCGGCCAGACTGAACAAGTGGTGGTTTTCAAAGACCCTTAAGTTCTTATAATGAGCGGTTTGGTGGTTGGGTGTGGTGTGGTGGGGGAGGGGGGCACGTGGTTGTGTGTCAATTTATATGGAAATGTGGGTTTGGCGGAGGGAGACCACACACACGCAGACATTTAGGGGCTGAATGGCTTGGATGAAGCGCTCTGCGGGGGGTCTGCTCATTTCTGTTGAGGATGGCTAATGTCTGAAGTTCTCACGCTGCCCACTACGCCCGGCGGAGTGAGTTGAGGCTTGCTTTCCACATGGTAACCATGACAACTGTGGCTGTGAGTGGATAGGGGACTTGAAGCTCTTTGGCTTTGAATTCTTTTGAAAATAGACAAAGGTGAAATGGATACGCATGTGTTGTAACTGCTGGTTTTGGCTGAGCCGCATAATTGGAAAATGAGGCAGAAGATTTAATTTGTTTACCAAGTCATTACATGTATTGATTTTGTTTTAGGGGCAACTGGTTAATCCCGAGTTTAGGTGATTGCCATGGAGATAAACATGTCAAGCTTGGATACATCTGATTCAGGAAAAAGATTAATTCACAGTGTCACTAATTAACTCTCATATTTTCCAAATATCCTCCTCCCCCTTTCCCTCCATCCACCCACTCAAACATGTCACCCCCTCTTCCACCAACACTTCCATGACCGTCTGTCTCTATTAGCTGAGATGGAGCCCTGCGTGACAAACCCGTGTCTGCATGGAGGAAAGTGTCTTCCTCAGGGGACGGGATACAGCTGCTATTGTCCACAAGGATACGCTGGAGAGAACTGTGAGATCGGTGGGTGATGCCCACACATACACACTCTGACACGGCACACACACCCACGCAGCCCTGCGTCAGCCTCTACATAATGAAGCAGAACTCGCTCAACGGCCAACCGGCAGGTCAAAGGCCAAGACGCCCCTCATGACAGTGAGAGGAGGTTGTATGGAAAATAGGGTCAAAGATCATGTTCTTGAGTGTCATGATCCCTTAAATTCAAACTACAGTAGCATTCAAAATGATCTCAAATTGAAATAGAAAGGTTACATTTTTGGAAAGAAAACAAAATTGCTGTCCAGCACAAATCTCTGCTAAATAAAATAAGTGTTTTTCTAGGTCTGTTATACTTTTATTTGCTCAGTACAGACAGATAAATCACTACTGTAAGTCAATGCATCACTTGGGTTTTATAGTGAGTAATATATTGAAGCAGTTAATATTTTCTTGCAACAAACACAATATCTCAATGAGCTACAGGTCATATACTAAATTAACCCCTAAATGACATTCTTCACCCTAAAGTAGATACAATTCTGTATTGATACCATTTGACACTTGATGGTTGATGATATATTTTCTAAATTGACTGTTTAGATTAGTTCCCTTTAACAATAAAGACAGCAAAAATGAACAAAACTAAACTAAGATTGACTGCATCTTCACATACAACTCACAACTGATTTAAATACTGCTGCCGAAATGTAATTAGCTGTGCTTGTTCATCAGTGCATTGTATATTTGTGAGTTAATTTTGCAGAATGAACCAAAATGAATGTGACGTTTAGGAAAATTGTTCTGTGTTAGGATGTCGCGGTTAAATATTTTACATAAATCATCCCCCATTGCCTGTTTGCAAATAAAAGAAAAGCCCAAAAGATGATGCTGGAGAAGCTTTTGCATAGGTTGTGGGGACTGAAACCCTGAGGTGTAAAACATGCTTGACTATTTTTTTTATGCTAATACAAGCTCAGCTCATTAAGCAACCATTCCTTTGTGAATAACATGTGAATAAATTAACCACATCCAGTGGGACATTTACTTCACAGTCTTAGGGAGAGCAGGCAGACAGGAAAAGCAATGAAACTGACAGCTAGCAGCAGCTGCCTAGGTATGCTGGGAGGCTTTGCAGTGGACTTGCAGAATTTGCAGGATAATCTCTCTGAGGAGCAGTTTCCCCTTCTACATAATGGATAAGAGGGACAATGGGATCTGAGTTTTATATTGGCCAACAAAGAGCTGCCCTGATTTAACAAGAAAAGACAGTTTGTGAACTCGCAAATCTCGAGGTCGTGCAAGATCACAACACTCGTTATCAGTCTTACTTGTGTGTCTCTGGGAAAACGTGTGGTCTCACTTGGATTCGTTAAAGATTTGAGGTCAGATTCGGCACATGACCATGGGGAGCTCTGTTGTCCACTGTTAAATTCAAGCTGTTTTCATTTGGCAAAACACAATAAGCATATAAGCAACGATAAGTTATGTCTTTTTGCAGATGGGTAAACATGTCAGAATATGTGTTAACGAAGAAAAAACTCTTCATCATCCTAACATTTGTGAGGACTCACCTGTCAGTCCATTCGAATGAAGTCCTGAATTTATGTCTTGTCTGCACCAACAAAAACATAATTCAATTTAAAGATGTGTGTGGTGAATTTAGCATCCACGTCAGAGGGTAGAAGGGGAAAAACATTTATTCACACACTCCAAAACATTTTTTGCTGGGGTTAAGGACAGTGGTTCAAATAAATGACAGTAGCTTAACCCAACTATGCATGCTATTCTAATTATTTTTGTCAGTTTTAGACAAAACAATCTAAATTTGGTGGTCTAAATAACAACTGACTTGTAAAACTGTCGAATGGTGCAGAAGGTTATTGTTTGGAAAGAAATGTAAAAATCTTGAGATGGTTGTTCTTTTTAAATTATGTTTGATGCCATGCACAAACAGCGTCGACTGATCACAAACTTCAGTGTGCTTAAAATACATCAGCTTAAATCTCTGGTTTCAGTCCCTACATCAGTCCACAACAAACACTCCCTCGCTTTCATTCATCTTTAAAGGGCTGCCATTTTCATAAACAGATAAACAACCCCTGCTTCCAGATTAGAGTCGAACAGAACTTTGTAGATGTTGATGCCTCAGCAAAGACTCATTTTTGACTACCGTGCTTTAAAGGTCTTCCAGTATGGCTGTTCATGGTGTCACCCTGATACACTTTTACCAACCAACCATGTGTTAGCCCAGATTAATATTTAGTTGTTTTGAAGCCAGCACAGGGAACGTTTTAGAATAGGCTAAAAGTCATTCTAATCTGCTCTGTCACACATTTAACTCCTTACAGCCACTGACCTTTTTCACATCTCAGTTTTTTGCTTTGAACCAAGTAACCGTTAAAGCGTGAGGAAATACTGTGAAGTAGGTTTGAACTCGCAAGTAGCGTTCTTGCTTCAGTTTAGCTGAGAATGGTCATTTTTTTCTGAAGTTTTGAGATGCATTTTGGATCCCAGAAAACCTGTATTTATAATTATTGCTGAATCTTCATTGATCACTATAGTAAATGTTCCTTTTGCCACCTTTTTCCCCTCACAGAGAGGTTGGGGAGTGCAGACTGAGTGTAGTGTAGTTTCCATCAGCCCTGGAACGGTTTGCGTTTCTGTTGCTGCTGTAAGCTTCCAGCAGGGATGCATTCTGCCAACCCCCCCCCACCACCCCCCACCACCGCCACAAACCCCATGTTCAGAGAACTGTCGAGTCATTCTAGAAATTTATGCCTGCACTAAACTGCATTAACGTAAATTGATTGTTAGGATTCTACTTTGGAGTCAAGCAGATTTTTTTCTTCAGTAAACAGATAGGCAAGAGAAAATGACACATATATTAAATGAAAAAAAGCTCTGTTAACAAGTAGTAATAATGTTGCAGCAATGCAACTATGCAGCTATGGCACAATTCTGAAATGCAGAAGTTTTCTTTCCTTTTAACTTCAGCATCAGAGCACATGTATTTCATTAGAAAACTAAGGAGCACTGCAACTGCTCTGTTCTCACTGCCTTCTATTTCCCACAGACGTTGATGACTGCCAGTCCGAGCCTTGTGAAAACGGAGGGACTTGTGTTGACAAGATCGATTCATTCCTCTGCCTTTGCCTGCCAAGCTACGGAGGAGACATGTGCGAGAAAGGTGAGAGGATGAGTTATGTAGTCATCTAGTGACATCATGATGACTTTTCCAAAAGAACTACCACATTCTGGTTGGTTTTCGGGATTTTTATTGACGCTCATTCGGAACAGTCTAACCACAGCGAAGCATTTTCATAGATTTCCAATCATTTGAGTTTATAAAAGGATTGTTGCTTGCTGTGCGGGTCCTGATCTGTGTGCAGCAGTGATTGCTGCGCGCCGTAACACAAGGCCACGTCTTTTCAAAGCTATTTGACAATGTGTCTGCGCGTCAAAGGCTGCAGAAATACTGTGACAAATACTGAAAGAATTCCAAGGATCTCTATGAGGCATCAGCTACTGTTTTTGCGGAAAATAACTGTGGCAAGAATTCGTAGTTTATGCTACAGTCTCACACACTGAAAAATTCACTGCCTGTTTGGTTTGTTCTAACGTTCCTGAAGGATGTAGGTATGTCGCTGATGACACATCTACCTGTGATGCATTGGTTTTGCCGTTTAAACACCACAAAACTAATTGCTGCATTGGAATCTGTACGCCAACATCGTTCTCCTCCTAAATGGGCCTGGTTTGCAGGTGCTTCCTCACATTAGGAGTAAAACTTCTTGAATCAACTGGGCATTAATTATCGCCCATTATGAGTTTACATTTCACTGTTGGGCTTTCGTTATTCAAACAAAATCTAAGTAATGTGAAAAAAGGTTCACAGAATGCCCATTCATTCAAGTCAAATATCCATATCCATGCATTTGACCACTTAGATCCTTAAACAGGACTCATGTATGGGATAGTGTACAGTAAACACCCTGATTATCATACCTGGGCTGCACATTTTTCTTTTTTTTTGGCTGGGAATAAAATACCAATTCATGCTCTTATGTTCTCTAAAAAGACACAAAAAGACCCAAGTAAAAATGGAGTTTAAAGCTATTGAAATATTCACTTGAAATTACAGCAAACATGGCTTAATAACAATTAAAACTGCATTCTGAGGCAGAAAATATGTCAGGGAGAGATTTTAAGCCTTTTAAAAAAAAGTCAAACCAAGCTAACCTTGCACAAAGCCAAAAATACTCTGATACAGTCATTATGGTAAAAAGAAATTCTGGTGATCAAAGAGGCATGTGGCAGCAACGAACCCACAGATACTGTGTTGGCGGTCCATTATTCAACAAAAAAAAAGAAAAAAAAAAAGAAAATCTGGTCCCTTGAGCTTTCACAGTGTGAGTAATAAACACAAACACAGAGGCAAGATTCCAAGCAGAATTTGTGTGTTACATAGCACAAATTACAACCAAACACACTTTAGCCACATTCAGATACACACAAATGCTGATTCACCTCCTTACAGGTTAAAGACACCTCCAGCTCTACATCTCACCTTCCTGAACGTGTGTGTGTCCTGTGCTAGCGGTAATGTGAATTAATGAATATCTAACCTTTGCAGTTATAAATGAATGCACAAGCCTCCGTGTTATTAATGAATACCAATAGGGCAGAGAGGGGGGGGCTGCATGTACTGCGAATAGAGAATCCGTGAGTGTAATTGCAGTTTATGTATTTAGAAGCTCAAAATGACACAGTCATCTATTTTAGTTATTGTTTGCCAATTGAGGTAAAACTCCCCCCTCTTTACATCCTTCACATACTTTTAATCTAATTACATTCTGACATCCTGCACTCAAATATGAGGAAAAAAATCATTTTAACTAACCGTCATTTGCTCACTACTTTGCAGACATTGAAGGTTGTGAGCACGGCTGGAGGAAGTTTCATGGCCACTGCTACAGGTAGGAAGGATAAACTGGCATGAAGATACTAAGAGGTAGAATAATTCAACCTGTAACTATTCATCCTCATAAATCCGTAATGCTCTTTTATACCCACAGTACTGCTCTGAGCCATTTAAATCTGCTGGGCTGCATAATAAGTTTTTCCATTTGAACTCTCATTGTGCCATCCTGTAGGTATTTCACACACAGACACACCTGGGAGGACGCAGAGAAAGACTGCAGAGAGCACAGCGCCCACCTTGGTAGCGTCCTCACCAAACCTGAGCAGGAGTTTATCAACGGTGTGTGTGACTGACTTTTCTAATGATTTGGTTTTATTTCCCTCACCCGTCTAACACAAAATGTTTTGCTTAGAAAAGTCGAATTCAGGTTAGAGAAAGATCAATCCAATTCAGTCTGTACAGGAACAAAAAGTAAAGTTAGTGTACACAAAAGATTAAGATCAACAGGCTAAAAAACACAGAAAAAGAAGGCGCTTGATCGTACATTGTCATCAATCGCATGTGACTTATTACAGTGTTTGTTTCAGGTCTCGGCCATGACAATGCTTGGATTGGTTTGAACGATCGCACAGTGGAGGAGGACTTCCAGTGGACTGATGGCAACGATATGGTCTGTAGTTACTATTCAGTTTATTTATTTCCCCAACTGATGATTAAATGAGCCCAAAAACCACCAACACATGGAAAAGCTGTTGCAGAGAAGATTGAAGGCTGAACCAATTCAAGCAAAACATTTTTAAAGTATGAAAGAATCATTAAATAACTTGAAGAATGGAAAAACCAACAATACAGTGTATGCACCTTTGGCCCCTTCATGGTAATGCATTCAGTCTTTAAACGTGTATAATAATGCTCCTGTAGATTAACAGAGATATTGTATATTTCAGATAAATTGGCACTTTTTCAGTCATCCTTCTCTTGGTCCTATCGCTGCATTTTGCATAAGGACACCATCCCTTTTCTTGTCGGAATAAAACATCATACAGCCACCCTACATACCCTAAAAGATCCAATTGAATTGTTGGATAACCACAACTCCTGGAGCTCTAAAAGAAATGGGGCACTCTACCAAGGGGAGAAATTTGGATTGATCTCTTTGAGGGATGAGGACTTTCAAGTAGAATCTTACAGTGTGTTGTTTTCCCGGGGGGTTGTGTGAACGGGCCAGCACATGCAGACATTTCACTTTACTTTAAAACTGCCAAGATGAAAAAAAACAACATTAAATTAGTTTGCTTTTTTTCTCAACACATTGTTTTTTCTTGGACGAAAAAGTGTCTTTTGAACAATTTTGCATTTGTTCCAACTCGCTGTTTCATGATGAGCAGGGGAGGAAGGGTCTCGTTTGAATGTTGTGTTACACATTCAGACACTGAAAATAGTACGATTTTCTGTCTTAAAATAGCATTTATCACCAGGATTGTGAGACTAGAGTTTGATTGGATTTGATAAGCAAACCACAGCGTCAGATTTTGACGGCTGCATTCTGTCTGGTGCATCTGAGCAAAGATAAAAACAGAAATGCAAAAATACAGAAATCACTTGCAAAGTGCTCTGGAAGGATTAATGCTCATGTCAGACATCGGAAAAAAGTGAGGGATTCATTTTAAAATATAATGAAATACTTGCTTATATGCAAAATACAATTTGTAATCCTCAAGATATAATCAAAGTGAAACATTTTGTTTTTTTATTTCGATCAAAAAGAGAAATGAGCAGACAGAAGATTTCCAGTCTTGCAGTCCTGTTAGAAAAACAAATGCTGCTGAATGCTAAGTCTTTTCCAATGTGCAGGTGTATGAGAACTGGAGGGAGAGCCAGCCGGACAACTTCTTTGCGGGCGGTGAGGACTGTGTGGTGACCATTTCCCATGAGGATGGCAAGTGGAACGACGTGCCCTGTAACTACAACCTGCCCTACATCTGCAAGAAAGGCACAGGTACGGGTGTTTTCTGCTGGTGCCCCACAGCAGATAGCGCTCTCTAATATTTTCTCACCACGTAAAGGTGGCGAATCGGTTCACATGCGGACTCTGGTTGCTCGGGTGTGACCAGATGGCCCACTGTTAGTCACGAGTGCTCATCATCACTTTCTAGTTTCTTGTGTAGAGATTAAACTTCTTTTCCCCAAAGTATCAGTAGTTATCCAAATTTGAGCAGGTACTTCACATCACTTAGTTCTGCCTTAACACAAAAGATCACTGTGGCACAGGCTCTAAAAAAAGTGATGACAAACACAAACCTAATTGAAGACTAAAACCTGTATTGATTTTTTTTTTGTAATATGAGTCTCAATCTTCCTCTTATTGGCATCTCTGGCCCTCCTTACACTCACCCAAGCTCTGAACTTGCAGTTATTGCCAGGTTCAGCGATATAATCTCAAATTCCTTTCAGCAATTTTGCCCGGTTGTCTTGATGCCCTCCCCCCAGTCATATCCCCTTGGATTCGGCTTGTATGATGCAAAGGGAGACGTGAGCCACGGTCAGGAAATGTTTGAGGAGGAAAGAGGAGGATGAAAGAGAGACAGCGAGAGAGGGATTAAGCCAATTCAAAGTGTGTGTTTGTCTGTCTGTAAACCATGTCATCTGAAGAGACGCATCACCTCCCTTTGGCTTCGTTTCCTTTTCTCTGCGGTGACATGCAGCAACAAGGCTGCCATCTAGAGGCAGCATGGATCTGAAACACTGCCACATACTGCACTAGATGTTATCACATCTGTTTACCGAATGCCTAATTTGTGACACCAGACCCAGTCCTTCATGTTAAATCATCATCTATATTGAGCAGCACATCTCTGCAGTTTTATGTTGAAGAGTTGTGTGGTTTAATGTAATTGTTTTGGCAGTGTTGTGCGGGACCCCGCCAGCGGTGGAGAACGCCCATTTAATAGGCCGGCGGAGATCACACTATGACATCCATTCCGTGGTCCGCTACCAATGCTCTGAGGGGTTTTACCAGCGCCACATTCCCACCGCGCGCTGCCGGGCCGACGGGAGCTGGGAGCGACCCAGGATTATCTGCACAAAGTGTGAGTGCACCACACAGGCCCAATGACCAACAGGGCCTCGTGAATATTGTTACGTGTCTTTGTTGCAATACTTTTTTAAAACCTTGCTCCCAAATCACCGTATTTCCAAATGTTTAACCAAGTTCTCATTATGTGTATATATTTATCTTTGGGTCGGACGATGTTTAACAACATAGCTATTGCAGACATTTCTGATCACTGAAATTTCAATCAATTAAGTTTTGGATTTGAGGTCTGAAATAAACTGCAGTAAACTGACACCATCTGTAGGATTTTACTTAATAACCGTGCCAGTACATCAGCAAAGAGTTTTAAGAAATATTTTGAGTTTGAGATTGTGTGTGCCAAATAGCAAATGGACTTCATACAGAAATACCTAAGTTACCTCAGAAAATACAGTATATTTAAGGTGTTTTTTTATGTTTAACCATCACATGATCATTGATTTCAGTTTAGGTTAAGACACACTTTATGCAATAATTGTTTTTTCTGATTTGTGTCATTTTTTAAAGTAATATCCAAATAGTTCGACATAACAACTTAGAGATTAATCATATCCACCGATATATCTGAGAAAGTACCTGAAAATGTTCCCATATTTAGATGGAATAAAACAATTACTCAGTCAATATTTGGGTAATTAGAATATTTTACTCACATATTGATGAAGTTTATCCTGATTTCAAGTCTTTACATTCAAGACTTGCCATGCCATGCTCAACATCCTATTTCTTTTTTACTACTGTACAAATTTTATATAATTGTTAAACAAATATAAATAAGTTCATTCATGAGAAACAATTTCAGAGAAAGAACGACAGTACTATATTGAAGTTGAAACAGATGTGTAAACACAACACAAGAGATTTCATTTGCTGGGGTTCAGTAATCTCGCACCAGCCATCATCACCATGTGAGCTGGGTCGCACGTCTGCTATTAACCCATAAAAACCCGTTTCCCCCCTCCTGCAGCTCGACGTTCTCACCGATACCGACGCCATCACCACAGCCAGCACCACGAGCGCCGCAGGAACCGGAGACACGGAGGAGAGGGCCACAAGGCCAGAGAGGACGTGCACAGCTACTACTGAGCCAAATAATACACCATCCACATTGCCTAGGTGCTAACTATGGCCCATAAAGAAAGACAGTAGTTCACATAACTCCTCTCTACTTTCTTGCCAGTCATCACGCTCTGCTACGCTTCGTTCCTCCCAATACGTAGAACGAGTTTCTTCGAACCAATAGCTGATTTCTACAGTCCTATTACTGAGTTAGATTGTTTTGATGCTTGTTTTAACTAAGGTCCATGCGAACACTATAGAGACTTACTTACTTAACACCCTGTGTCCCTTAAGTCTCAGTGGTCATTTCCCCACCTGTCTAACAAATTCTAATCCTCTGTCGGAGCTGTCAGACTCGACAGCAGCGTGTGAGCTTGTGCGAGTGTGTGCATGTAAGACAGAAATTTAGAGATGAGTCACTTTTTGTAATAGTTTTGCTTGTTCTCCGTGGAAGATAACTCATCCCAGTGTTCTGTTTACACAGACAGCAGTGATGCCGGATAGCGTTCAATCCTTGGTAATCCTGAGCTGTTTGTATGTGTCCTGTAGCTGTTACTTTTCCATAGAGCACCCGAGTAGCTTATCTGTTTTATTCTACTGACATTCTTCATTTTTCTAATATTTGCTGTTTGTGTGAGGTTTCTATTTATTATGAATTATTTGCTAGTGAATATGCTGTCTTTTTTTACTTATACTACACAGTGCCAGCGTAACATCATTTTCTATACCAGTATGTATCTCCGGCAGTCAATCAGTCTAAAATGAATCATCTGATTGTCTCTTATCTCTGTATTGTATATACTGTGGTGTGTTTTATTGGCTGATACCTGATCAATACGTGGACTTTGTCCAATCAAACAGACTCCTCATCCAACGCATACGTCTCACTGACTTAGTTTGTGTGGTTGGGACCATAAAATACTCTAAGATAAACATTTGATTGTATCTGGTTTGCTAATCACGTTTGGTTTTTGCACGGCTATATTTACACAATGGGTAGAATGTCACTATTTTTTGTCTTTGGTCCATTTGATATTTGAGCTGTCATCCACTTTTTTGGTGTTCTGATGACTTTTTGTCCTGCTGTTGTATTCCATTCTTAATAAAGTAAATAAAACCTACTGGTGATTTTTCGTGTTATGTTAGCAAAACCCCATCTGGTTTCAACTCTGTACGTTCTTGAAATGAAAGGTTCTGTTATAAAAAGCTAATAAAAATAAGATTTTGAAAGGGCAGAAAATGGGTAAATTAATTTTGCATTGGAGGTAAGAGGACTCAAAGGAAGTAAAGATTTAAAGCAGAAATTCCCTAAGCTTGACAAATGTTCGAGGGCTAGAATATAATTATGGATAAAAAACAATAGTTTCTTTCATCACTAGTCTTGTTTAGCCAACAATGGCAAAAATGGGATAATTCATTTGGAAGTTCCTATATGTTCAGAGCATAAGAGGGCTCTGTCCTTCAACAATAAATTAATGCTATTCTCATATGAATTATTAACAGGAACAAAAATCTTTGGAGATTCTTCAATTTCAGCATGAATGTCGTGGCTGAGACGCTACCAGGAAAAATATGTGCAAAAAGTACTCGTTCCTCTGAGTCACTGACTGAGGCTAAGGATGAGTGCAGAAAATAACAGTTTGAAGATGGCCATCTTGTGTAATCGCATTAGTTTCTTCAGGGTCAATTTGTCTAATGGCTATATAAACGGCACGTCTAAGATAACTGTCGGCCTCTCGCTGGTTTGTTTGCAAACTGAAGCTGACTTTTGGGACATGCAGCAGTTAAGTGTGAGAGTGGCTTATCCAGTCAGTCATTAAGAGAAGATGGGTGAGTATGTTTGATCCCTGGCAGAATTCATGTTTTATTGATATCACAGATAAGAGGCTAAAATTATCGAGACAACCGAATGCAACATCAAAAGGGAGCTGGGGCAGCAGGCATATTCTGACAGACCACACAGCTCTGGCAACTGTTCACGTTCAAATACTGCACAACACAGTATGTGTTATCGAGCATATACCGCTCTGGTACTGACTACAATATATGTTGATGATGAAGCTGGAGAACACAGCTGGCTGAAATACATGGAGACTGTTTCGCCCCCTTTTTCTGTTGCTTGTTTTCAGCCCTTTTCAGTCATAAAACAAAGGGAAATGGTGGCATGGCTATACAACTGACACAGCTTTTGAAAAATTACATTCAGGTCATGCAGCAACAAACTCTCATTTCTAACACTTCAAAAATCGATGTTGAAGTTATAACTGTTATTATTGTCACAGTTGAAGTTATGCTGACCAGTTATTACCTGCCAGGTCATTTGTTAGGGAAAATCAAACATCCTCCCAGGGAAATTGAACAGAGTGGAGGCAATATGAGCCTAAAGATGGAAATGTAATGGAGTTTCATGAGATTATGGTCTGAAATGTTGTAATTTCAGACCCCCCCCCAAAAAGAGTAAACAGATTTAAAAATATCAGGATTTCCGCCCAGAGTAGTAGGGGTGCTGGTCAGGTCACTTAACTCCAACCAATTTTCCGCAGAGCTCTTTTCTTTGACCTCCTTTTGAAAATTCTGTGAGATTAAGACGACACACAATCTTAAGTACTTAGGAACAGACAACTGTACCACAATAAAAATCTGACCACACTCTAAGCTGTAACATACATCTGCAGTGAGACGAGCAGCTGTTCCAAAATACTCCACAAAAAAAGCCCTTTTTTCACGAGTAAAAAAATTCACATAAATTATTACTTGTGATTGATGAAAAACGGTAAAGTGACAGATGTCACAAGCTGAACAGTGACCTGTCCTATTCATTTATATAAACCACAGCACGTAACACAACTGACCATACAACAGCATTTTAAAAATAGCGTTTTGGGAACTAATTATGTCCTTTTCTTTCGTCATCCTGGTTTTCTATGCTAAAGGACACCGTAGAGAAACCACTGATGTCATTGATAAAATGTAGTCATTCAGGTCAGGAATGGTCTGTAAATAAAATAGAGGAAAGCAAGGCTAACATCCTGACGTTTATAGCTAACATCCAAATAAACAAAAAAATCCCTGAAAATAACTAAATTCGTACGTGACCAATACGTGACCAAAGCTTAATTTTATTCACTTTTAGTGTGTCCTATGAAATGTGCAGATGGCAAAAGCAAACTGAGCAACAGACCTCTAACCGGTTTGCTCTGAGATCAGTTGTGAATGACTGCTCACCTAATTCCAGGGTTCACCTCTTATCAGTTTCACAACTGCAGCATTTCAGTGCTCACAGTGCTCGATGACATCACAGCAGGGGAGAGTATGGACCACAGAGCACACAGAGCAGTTTAAATCTTAAGTTTGCGATTCACTTGTTTAAGTTTAAAAGCGCAGATATGCTGTAGGTAAAACCTACAGGATCTACAGCTCACAGAATTCTCATTTGAAAGAGTGTCAATACCAAAAAGGGATGGGTGTCCCATTGTTTCAATAGTAGAATATAAAGCATGTAAAGAACAAGAGAATGTTTTAAACACAGTTGAAATGGCAGAAAACCAGAACAGTTATATGATCATTAAAGTTGTTTATTAAACACATAAGCCAAAAATATATAGTTCGGTTTCTGTCAATTTGGATAATTTATATGAACAAAAACAAAACAAAACACAGGAATACACTGACAACACCCCGATGTGCTAGAGGGAATAGAGATGTACCATCTGATATTTCATGTTATTAAGTCAATTCCTTTTATTAGCAAATATTCAGCCTAATTAAATTATCGTCAATTTCAGTTCCTCCTTTATCTTATCAACCATTTTTAATTAATACAGCATTGCAAACATTCAGTGGATTCTCCTGGAGTCTGATACACTGAGTTAACACATTAAAAAACTGTGACAGTTTCCACTCATTTTCAACATTTTAGGCTAGTAAAAATATTGACAAGTGGATTTGTGGAGTTTTGGTCTGGATTTCTACACAAAAACAAGCATATTCTCACTCCGACCGTGGTGACCAAGGCAATGCAGGTTAGCAGTTTACGTTTGGACAGAGACCAACTGGGTATCTCCATGAGTCACCTTAAAGCTGCGCAATCTGATAGCAGTCCTCACCTCTGTCAGCCTTATCATGGTCCAATAGTCCATGCAGGGAGTGCCACGTGAGGTGATGGATTTTAAAAACTGGCCAGGGGAGCGATGTTCTTAAAGTCCCTCTGAGTTTTAGTTTTGAAAAATGCATGTAGAAAAAAAGTTTTTGGGCCAAAGAAAATCCCACGAAAAAGACCATTTCTGTCACCTCGAGAGGTAATAATCCCCCACAGTAAACTTCTGCCGTTCGGTCTAGTTTTTCTTCTTCTGTTTGTCGGTCTGTCCCCGAGGAACGGGCTTCATGAAATAACCGGGGCTGGTGTGGCAGCGCAGAGCCAACAGGGCCGGAGCGACAGCGAGCAGCACATTGAGAATGACCACAGGCAACCGTCTGTCCGTGGGGACTCTGTACGTGAAGGGAGTGCGGGAATGCAGAGACGCACCGATATGGCAGAACTGGGTCTGAGGAAAACAAGCATTGGAGGCGGTCAGCGAAGGAGCACTGACTTCTGCTTTTTCCAATGAGTGTCATGACTCCAGTTACCTGGGCCATGGCAGCTGCAAAGAAGATGGTCCAGTCCAACATCCAGCTGCAGCCGGGAGTCTTCAGACCATAGATGAGGACGGTGAGCAGGGGAACAGCGTAGAACAAATAAACCAGCATCTATTGTTCCCAATAAAAAATACAACAAGATTAGATGGATTTCCTTTGAGAAAAAAAATACAGAATGTATTCGGTTTTTGTTTCTTTTCCGTCTATGGACTGACCATAACCCTGGGAAAGCCAACCGGGTCTTTGAGGTATGGCTCGTACTGATAAATGTAGGTGAAACAGGTGTCCAAAGGGCAGTCAAGAACCACCTGGAGCACAACAAAAAAAGAAGCTGATACAGTAATGAAACATGTAAGGTCTGCATGGGAAAAACTGAACGGCTTTACTTACAAAGCCTCTGAAAACTGAGAAAGCCATGGCTCCGAGTAACAGGAGAGACAGAAGCAGGTCAACCGGTCGAGACAGCAGGCCTTTCTTCTGTTCCGCAGTAATCTGCACAAGACAAAGAAACCCCCCCCCAAAAAAACAAATTAGGATTTTTTTCCCTTTAATGTTTTAGAAAATGTCCTGTAAAATAAAACAAAATCAGAATTTGAGGATTCTTAAAGCTCAATTGTTTTTTGTGCTCAAAGCAGAAAAGATGCTGTTCTTTTCCACAATAAATTGAAAGAAAAAGAAAGCAGAGGAAAATTTCTGAAATTCCATCACATGCTCTCGAGCCCTTAAACTACTCACACTCAAAAAAGTTCTGGTGTAGCTCCTGAAGGTGCTGCCGTAAATGTCAAGTTGACATTTTCAAAATTATCTCAGAAAAAACATGACCAGGAGCAACAAATTTCATTATTTCATTTGTATTTTTTTAATTAGCTCACATTTGGAAAGAACCAGACCAGTCACTGCAAAACTGAGGCACGATCATCATAAGACTGCTTTAATTTGTTTAGATTTTAAAAGCCAAGCAAATACCAAACATGTCAAAACAGTTCATTTAGAAAAATCAGCAATAACTCATTACCATGTTGAAATGCCAACCGGAACTTTGAGACACTTATGGGAGCATTCAAGCACTTCAAAGTTCTTATAACTGTATTCATGGGTACATGCAAAATTTTAAATGCAAAATGGGATTGAGTGCTCTCCACATAATTACTAATTCATGTTTTTTCATACTCATCACAATTGTTCAAACTTTTTAGATTTGAATGCAGCTCTTTATTGCTGTTCTGCTCCTCATATTCGGGTTTTTAAATAATATTAAATTCATAGGCATTTAAAGAGATAATATCTTTTGTCTCTGTAGATACACCTATTACACAAATCTTTACAAATGAAACAAACCTTGTCTGCTGTAACGACTGGCATCTCTCTCGGTCTGCTAAAGAGCACAGACGCTGCCCAGAAAGGCGCCAGAAAGAAGGGGACGTTCCTCCAAAAGGCCGGTCGAATGTTAGACCCATATTTTCCTGAACAAATGAGGATATTCCAAATCAACACTTGCTCGACGATTTCTGCTTTTATGACCAAACAAAGGGTTTAAATGTGGGCGGCTCTCACCGATGACCACTCCTGGGATGAAGACGACTTGGTGGGCGATGGAGGATCCGGCCCACAGCAGACCCAGACTTCTGTAGGACTTCCTGTGTGGACATACGATCAACCGGTTTCAATAGAGGTCTCACTGAGCCCGTGGCTGACTGGCTGTGAGGGTTGTGATGCGGCGGTTTACCCTGCAAACATGCGCTGGATGATTGTAAGGAACAGGATAAAGTGCACAACACCCTCCCAATAGGACATCATCACAGCATAGGCAGTACTAAGATGAGGCTCGCCCTGAAGAGAGGGAGCACAATACAGTCAAAACAAAAATTTGCTTTATGATGTGCATCAAGACTGTTTCACAAAGGTTCAAACAAAGAACAAAAAGTCCCCATACCAGCCTGATGTAGAAGTTCATGAATCCAGAGATGAACCCATCCTGCTCTAAAGCATTGGTCAAGCCCACCATGCACGTGAAGGAAAACTCTGCGAACACTGCACACACACACACAAGATCACTGCAATAGCAACATACACATAAACACAATAACAGCAGCCTGTCTTTGTTTTGCACATTTGCATGAAATGTTATGCCCATACCATAAAATAAAGGGTCCACTTTTGTCTTGTCTTGAACTGTGAGATGGAGGAGTAGAAGAACTGATCCCAGGATGACCATTCCCATTCCCAGAATTGGAAGAGGCCTATGGTGACAACAACAGATTTTAATTTTAACTACTGCAATAAGTAATGAGGTGGATTATAATTCAAATAATAGCAATGATCACAGTTGACAATTAATTATTCAAATGTGTTAGCGTTTGATCAAATCTGACACTCTTTGCTCCTTCCAGCTCAGCAGCTCATGGTGAAAGGAGTTTTTGGACAAAACAAGCCACAATTCACAAAGCCTCAACAGACTAAAAACTAACCCAAAGCTCCTCCTCATGTATTAAACATTCACCCCCTTAAATCAAAGAAGCAGTCCCCAGGATCTTAAGGTTATACACGAATTTCATGACCTCTGATTAATCCTTTTTTTTTATTCTAAAACTTTAAACTGAATTGACCCTAGCACAGTTTACACTGACCAATCAGGAACGTGCTCCCAGTCTCAGTCGGTTATTTCATTTCACTCCCTTTTCGGAGTTTAAATCTGTAATTTCTCTAATCATTAACAAGATTTTGACCGACATGGCCTCAGAACACGGTGGCACACTTACTCCTGAAGCTCCGGGATGTTGTTCATTGTGAATAAAACTCCAGGGGCCAACAAAGAGAGCAGAAACACGCTGATGGCAGCTGGCGGCCTCATCCTTGCAAACGGACCGTTTCAAATCAATTCAATGGCTCTTTCGTCAAATGTACAGACTGAAAAGTTGTCGACTTAAACAACTTCAGGGGCTGTAGAAAGAGGCATGTCAGAGCCCTGCTCCCGGACAGAAGCAGCGGAGAGGAGGACGGAGCGTAAAGGCGCGTCTCCCGGTGCCTTTTGGTCAGCGATGAGGCAACGTGGGGCTCCAACACGCCTGATATCTAGCGGTAAGATTCAAAGTTCAACTGAGGAATCGTGTTCTTCTTCTCATACATCTCCAAAAAAAAGGGTGGATATTTGCCGGCCCTTTACTGCCTCTCGCAGGCTGGATGGAGGTTGGTAGGAATGGATTTTCCTCATGACGCGTGGTCCCCATATCCTGACAGTTATTCTGGGTGGTGTTTTGCTTTCAGCTCGGCCGTGTTTCTTTCAAACAGCTGTTTAATCTAATCAGATCAATCAACAAATTAGATGAACCCCCAAGCTCAAAACACAGCTTTATTTAAAGGGGAAAAAACAAACAGGAAATGTGAAATCTTAAGAATGTCTGATGGAAACCATGCCATGATGTTTAATGGGTCATTCCTAAAGAGGCTCATAAGTTGGTCTTTATTTATCATGAGGAATACGAATGGTGACCATTTTAACAGTCTGAGGCTGGCAAAGCCGACCAGGACTGTCAGAGCTTAGAGAAACCAGTTATCCCAAAATGCACGTTTTTACCCGGGGGGACATATTAAAGCAACACAACAGTCAGCCCCGAACTACAGGATCCTGAAGTAAGCATAACGGGTTTAAGTATTTCATTCTACCCGTAAACACTGAACTTCATTTCATGCTTTTTTCGCTCTGACAGAATGTTTATGGTGAACTTTAGACGATGAACCTGGTGTCACAGAGGTCACCACCAACATGTTTCCCACACGGTCTGTTTTCTCGAATCCCACGGCCCCGCAGTTCTTTTAAGGAGCCATCTGCCCTGTCTCATTTCTTAAAGATTAAAAATTCCTGCCGCTGATGTTGCAAGTCTTGATTAGATTCTGGATTATATCCTTTTAAGGACATAAAGTTCAGAACAAAGATAATTATTCCTTTGAGTCAGGGTAGAATTTTAAATGCATTATTGAAGTAACGTTTTCCATCACAGCCATGCGGAAGTTTGGCCTCTCCAGACTGTTTTCTGCGCGCGTTAAAAGGTGAGTGAGCATTGTTGTGTAACATCTTACGGACGTGTACAGGGGACCCACACCTAATGCAACCTTATCTTCTGTAACAAAGCTCCTGAAGAGGATTATGCTGCTGTTGCCACAGAAACTTAGTGACCAGTGGAAAGCGAGAGTAGCGAGGGGTGGGGAGTCCATGAAGAGAGTAGAAGCAGTTCGCCAGGCGGTTATATACAGACAGGATTTTGCCCACACAACAGACACACTTTTATTATCAATTTGAAGTGTCTGATTTTTTTTTTTTACCCAGTCTGCCACCATGATAAACCCTTTGATTATTGGGATCATGACCGTAAACACTTCTCTAACCCTCATTTACTGGGCCTTCCTTTTGGGTGATGCCTACATGACATGGATGGTGGAGCCAGACGACAAACCCAAGAAGATAGTTACTCCAGCCTGAGGGAGCTGTAATGGATCTACCCGACTGACTGGGTTTTATTTTGCTTAGGAGCAGTACAGCTTGTAGCGCTTTCGTTGGAGTCAAATTTGTAATTAGTCGGCTTTCTTTCCTTTTCTTTTTTTTTATCTGGAGAAGATTTGGATACCTTCAGTGAATTCAGTGACACTATCCTCATACAATCCTAATTATAATCAAGCAAGGAGTCTTTCTTTCAGGTATGTATTGTTTAATCTTCTTGTTTGAATTTCGTGTGAGTTTTCCTCTTATACTAGCTTTTTGCCATGCTTTAAAACATATGCTCGAAATCCATCGCACCTCAAATGGTTAAACGGTAACCCAAGTGATGCTAAAGGAACTCCATCTTCTGTTTTCCCGTCTGCTGACTCAGGGAAAAACTGGTGACAGCAGCACGTCGCCACCAAATCCTGTCAAGGATTACCTAAGAACACCCTGATAGTAACACAGACACTCCCCTGACAGTCTCATCCTAATACACACCTTTGGTCTGCTTCTCCATCAACCTCCTCTTTCTCCATCAACCTCCTCTTCCTCCACCTCATGGCTCCTGATGATTACTGGGGCATGCACCCAATCTCTTGGTTGATTCTCTTTCTGAATATCGCCGTCACTCTCATTGAGTGGCTGTTTCTTACCCGTGAGTTTGCTAGACTTAGAAACCCACAGATTGAGGAAGAACCTAAGTCCTAGAGGAAAACACCTTCATCCTGATGACACACCAACAAGATCTGTGAGGAAAAAAATGCATTTCAATCACTGTGCCTGTTTGTAGAGAGAGTTTTGGATTGCCATGCTAGAGGTGCCACTAAGGCCATCCTTTTATTTGACATTAACCTTTTGTCGTGTGTTGGTTGTTGTTTATCTCCAGAGCTGTCACCATTTTCAAATCAATTCAATGCCAAGCCAAGGATACGAGCCGAGCAGCTGTCTTTATTCTTGGACAAAGGTAATTTATTTGACCACTATTTCTGGTACAATCCTTTTCATTTTCTCCCCTTTATGATTGCATGGGTGGCAAAACCTTTGTTTTTGTTTTTTAAACTGTGAAAATGATTTTACTTGCTTTATTTTTTGTGAATTTGATAGGATGTGAAGAATGTAGAAAGTGAACCTGTTTAAGTTGAGTTCGTACCTTTATTCAGTGATACCTATTCGAAAAAGCACAGAATGTGCTTTCATTTTAATTTGTATATCATATGTATTGAGATTTGTATGAAACATGGTGGAGGATAACTGTAAGCCTCTTTGGGGCATTACTGTCCACCTCTCCACACACATCTCTAATCCCTGCAGATGGAAAGCTGATATTGCTCTATGACCGGCTCAATCCTATTATCCTCTGTCTGTCCTATATTTCTGCATTGTCTGTCCTATAGCCCTCACTCTCCTAGAAATTTGGCTAAAGACTTCAGTGTGAAAAGAGCATAAGAAAGAAATCTCTATTTATTGGGGGAGAACAGCCACCATTGAGAGACTGTGTTTTCATTTATGAAGGTCCCTCAAGTTTCATCTCCCACATGAACCTGCGTCTCTCTATAGCCTTATAAAATGGTCACAATCTTCTAATGCTCAGGTGCTCACCTCTTTTCCAAATATTTACAGTGAATTGAAGAAACAAAGCTCTGCAACAAGACAGTAAACTCATCATCATCCAAAGAAACAGACCTTAAACCTTACTGACAGAGTTTCAGAAAACAGCTCAAACCATGAACCCGCATCCTACTGTGGCCCTGAACGCCTCAGGAGGAGTTCAGCTTTTGAACTTCAGCCAGCTGGAGTTTGACCACCGACGACTCCTCCAGTTATACAGAAGGAAGGAGGAGGCTGAGGCCTATTTTGTGGACTACATCCCCCCAGCGAGGGATGCCATTACTCTGCCTCGCAGTGTGGTCTATGTCCTGGTCGGCGTGGTGTTGGTAGTAGTGGCCACTTACGCCATAGTGAGTCACCTCATTAAAGACCTGATGCATGACCTGGCAGGTAACCTCAGGAAGGAACATCTTCTACTGATGTCCTCCTTTATTTACGCGTCACTGTGTCCACTCTGACGTCCATCGTCGTGGTGTTACTGAATCCATTCCATCCCTGAGTTGAGCCTGGGCTGCTTGTGCTGTTCTTTCCTTTCCCCTTTTGTGGGCTGATCCTGTTGTTTTATGACAGTCTCCCTTCACATTCACCCGGTGGTTTGTGTACAGTGGACAACTCATCCTCAATGGTGTGATTGTCAGATCATTAAGGTGAACGCCAAAAACAGGGACATTTCGCTGCTGACATGATTTGTTAAAGAAGCACCCTAGTTTCTTAATGTTGCAGCCATGAAAAAAGATAATCTTCCTGAACCACACAGGACTTCTTAATGATTTTTTAAAGCACCAATTGCTGCTTCTTTACAAAACAGCTCAGCAGTATGCACATCATTCAAACAAACAGACAGGTCACAAAGCAAAGAAATGTTCTCAGTGTGTGTGCTAACTCTTCTCACAGACTGGATCTTTGGGCCCAAACCAGTCGAGGAAGATCCAGAGGGAGGAAGTGCAAATACAGAGGAAGAGCGGCGGTACAGCATCTCCAGTAGGCTGATGGAGACAGGAGACGGGCCGGGGACGGAGGAAGAAAAACGTGTGCCGCTGCCCGGTTTCCATCAGGGAGGCGGAGGCTGCTGCCATCCATCCACAGCTCCTCCGCCGAGAAGCGCCATCACTTCATCCTACTGCGGAGAAAAAAGGATTTCCACGCATAGTGTGACCTTCGCCTGCCCCGTCGGCCCTTATGCCACCTCCCTCTAGGCTTTTCTCACTTTCTCAGATCCTATCTGTCACAGGCCGAATGTCTTGTCAGCGCTCAGTTGCCGTAGTAATGTGTGGGCAGTTTGATGTAAAAACTGTTTGTGCTCATTTAAAAGAGAATGCTTTAGTACTTTCTTAGGTAGTTAATGTCACCATTTTCCAAAACAGTTCACATCATTATATTGCACTGTATCAATATGAATGTTCACTACTGGTTCAACGTTTGATTACTTCTACTGATATATAATGTAAAAAATGACTGGTGAAAGATCTAAACACGATACGTAGATATGAATGGAAACACACTCCTCTGTACCCTGCTCTGTAAAGCACTGATCCTCCTGTTCCACCACACATTGACCTGTTGTGCGTCTGAAGACAGTGCACATCTTCTGGTGCTGGACCAAGCTTCCTCCAAGTAAACAAGTTATTAATACAAGTGTGTTGTTGTGTC